TTTTTACAAGCCACTCAGAGATAATCAAGTGGGCCCAGCTGACCGATCCAGCCAGTCAATTCCATTCTCAAAATCCCCACTCGACAAATATTAATTACATGCAAGCGGGACCACCGACGAACCATTAAATAAACGGATATGATCGCTCGTATTAATATAACCCACTTCCAAACCGTACGATAAGAATCCTACGTGGTATATCTCAAAACATTAAAAAAAATAAAATAAAGAAAGGTCTGTGAACTGGCAGCCATAACCACCCGCCTCCTCGGTGAATCAAATTAAAACCGTGGGTCCCGGTTGGTCACCCTCTGTACTCACGCGCCTTCAAATGCTGACGTGGGCACATGCTAGAGAGTAATCATACACCGCGGGCGTGAACATTTGGCTCCGTGTACCAGTTTTGACTTTCGGTTGGTCAATCTCAATCGAACGGTTGAGATTGAGCGTGACGTGTTGAGAGAATCGCTGTGGAAGAAGCGACGGGAACCGAGGCGTCAATCACGACGTGTCGCTTTGCCAGCATGGAAGCTACTTGAGTGGAGTGTAAATATTATTTAATTTTCTCAAACTACTTTTTTTTTTTTTATTCATACTTCACATTCATTTAATCAACCGCCTTCCATTTCTTTTGTCTTATTTAAATTCTTCAAATACAACTTGCCACGTCACTATAAATATTCCTTAAAATTTAAATATTAATAAGATTAATTATAAAATAGTACAATATTTATTTATACGGGATATGCTCGAATGATACCAATATTAAATATTCAAATTCCTAATTTAAATCATTTATTAATTTTAAAATAAAATAAAACAATTCAAGAGTAATTGAACAACTATTTTCTTATTATTTAAACTAAATTCAAAAAAATATATAATAAAATAAAGGAGTTGTTCGCCATAAAATATGCCTCGGAGAAAACAAAGTCATAGTTAATTTATATATATATATATATATATATATATATATATATATATATATATTTAAAATACTAAAAAATATCAATAAGATTAGCTTTGACAATTTATTTATCTTAAAATAATATTATCCTTTTCCTTTTGTCTCTTGGGCAATAAAAAATGGTGGCCAAAGAAATATTATTTTAATATAAATATTAAAAAAAATTATTGATTAGTTATTATTAAAAGTAAAAACATTATCTTTTCTCTTACCTTATTTCCTCTCTAAATAATATATATATATATATAAAAAAACATCCATAACGCTTTTTGATAATTTTTAATTATCAAATAATAATAACAAAATAATCCATTCCCTCTCATTTTATAATTTTTTTAATTTATCTTTTATTATTTTAAATCTCATTTTATAAATATATATATATAGATATACACGCCTCTTGATTAGATTTAAATAGGTGAATATTTATAAAAAAAGTCATTACCAATTATTTTAAATAAATATCTTGATCATATTTAATATTTAAATAATAGATTTCAGTCCATATAAACGTGGTTATTTATAAATGTCATTGCTTTGTTTATTATTTAAATAATATAATCATCAATTATTTTATTTTGACCTAAGTTTGGTTGGCATATTATTTAATATATATATAGGACTAGAAGGACATTTAAATATTTTTATATATCAGTGAATGGAGACAAATTCACCATTATCATATAATATTCATTAAAAAAATATTAAAGTAATTGAAACTATAGCATAGCTTATTAAATTCTTTTAATATTATTAATTGGACCATAGCCTTGTCTTCTTTGTTGCCGCACATTAATTGAGTATTCATTTCGTAAAAAAATAAATCACTCTCGAAAATAAATTTCAAGCAAAGTCTCTCCTTAAAATTTAAGAGAATACTTCTTACTCTTTCACGTGGGCCCCACTAATTTCAACTCTTATAATTAGTTAGATATTTAATCAAAGGTTGATGTGTCGTGTGTTCATTGGTGTACTCAATTATTTATCGTGTTAAGGGTAAATATTATTAATAGTTTGATTAAACATAATTTTAATCCAAAATTTAGGGTGTATAAATTAATAATATAGAATTTATAATTATATTTAATTAATTAAAAAAGACATGAATTCTTTAATATTCATGTGATAATTAACTAAACCATAAATGTTAACGTGTCAGTCTTTTTTAATAATTATTAAATTCAATAACAATTTTTTATTTAAATAAAATATTGTAATAAAAATTATAAAAGAATAAAGTATTGTGCAATTTATTATTTTAATATGTTGGTATGCAATGAGTTGGGATATGGGCTATATTACATATTCAAATAATATATTTTATTGGTATTATTTTACATTATATTCTTCATATATTAATATTAAAATAAAAATTACTATTTAAAGGCACAGGGTGATGGGGCAAGTAGCCTTAAAATATTCATTTTAAAATTAAATAAATAATAATTTGATTGAAATGGCCATCTTTGCCCCCCACCAAAATTTAAAATTACGTCTAAATTCTAATTCCACTATTTTTCTTCTCATTTATTCATTTTATTTTATAAAAATAAATATTTAATTGGTGAGTGCCAATATAATACATAAAAATAAAAAATGAATTAAATATATATATATATATAATTTAGCATAAAAAAAACATATCATAATTCATTTGTTATTGTCTTAAACTAAGCCCACTTGTGCATAGGCCCATAGGCCCAACATCTTATCCAATCTCAGCCCACCAGCTCACATCATGGTCTATTCGATCCCTTTTTTTTGGGTTGATTTAGGTTGAGTTGTCGAGTTGTTCTTTTTTTAAAATATTGTTTATCCACGATACATGTTATATCAATAATTAAAATTTCATAAAATTAAAATATCAAATATTTACGAGTCAAATTATTTAGATGTTCTAACACAATATACGTAGATTCAAAGAATTTTCATATTTCAAAATTTTGATTTTTGGGATGAAAAAGTCAAACGGTTATTGAAGAGCAAGAAAAGTTTTAGGGTTTCCCCATCCAAATTCATTCCTTGTTTGGTGTTTACCGGCTAACTAAAGATTTGATCGTGTTACCGAACCGTTCAACTAAGAATTATTCAAAATTGTCTTTTAATTATATACTCGTGATCTTCACAGTTTTTAGTCGATGTATACTAAGCCTTCTCTTTCTAAACTCATCAATTTCTTTCGTCTACACTAAAGGATTCTTCTACCCACATGGCTAAGTCAAGGTCGTGATTCTAATACCATTTGTTAGAGAGACAACGGACCCTAACACGTCTTCACAATGATATGAAATTATCCACTTTGGACGTAAACCCGCGTGGTTTTGCTTTTGAAATTATCCACCTAAAAACTTTCGCATCAATAAATACGTTATCCCTAATTTAAAGTATGAGTGGAACTATGCTTAAATTGATAATATAAATATTTAATTTATTACAAAGATATATTTACACAAATGTTCTTAAAATGACCTATATCAAAAGGGATTACCATTTTTGTTAAATAAGAAAAAGGTAAATAAATCAATAATTGAATATATATATATATATATATGGAAATTAAAAATAATTTTCTTATATGCTGACTGTATAAATATGAAATCATACGTTAAAATTAGTATCACCGACATAAATATTGTGAATAAATTAATAAATAAAATGATTTTATATTTTCGTATTAATTATTTTGGTATTTAAAATTTAATAGCCGATTCCTCTCTCTTTCAATTATTTACTCAGCCTTTACAAGTGAAGTCATTAATTATTATAAATTTATTATGTTCGTCCATCTTTATTGTGATGGTATTTTGGTCTTTTCACTTATTGAAATCTTAAATTTAAAGCTGATTTTACAGCCATTGTTGTTCTTTTTAATTAAATACAATGCGTCATTGACATTAATGCCCATTTTATTATTATTTATTATTTATTTTATTTCTAATAAAATTCCGAGTCCTCTAATTTCAAAATTATTTACCACGCTATTCACGGGTTGACATTTTTTTTACTATGTCAATTTGAGGAATTGAAAAATAGAGTTACAACTCAACCCGACACTGTTCCATTTGACTTTTGTAACTGTCTCATTTGACTTTTGTAACTGTGACCCGTAAATGTTTGATATTTGATATTTACAAGATTCTAGTTATTATGGTAATATTTATTGTAGATAAGTACGTTTTTTTTAGATAATTAAATTATAAAATTGACATTCCAACCCAACTAAACCCTAAACACGAGGATTTAGTGGGTTGCTCTAGTTATCAACCTGGCTAACCATGAATGTCGGATTGGTCCAAAATAATTTTCCAACTCAACCCGTGTACATCTCTAAAAACTTTTTTTGTACGCTCAACTTACGTTCTAAAAATAATAATTAAAGTCAGCAAGAAGAAAATGACACGCTTCGCTTCGTTCGGAAGAAACATATCAAATTATTTGTATAGTTTTGTACCTTTGCTTTCTTATTTTTGTCCTTTGTTCATTACATCATGCTAAATTATTCAATTATATGTCATTTTTACTTACCGAGTAGAAGCGAAAAAATGTTATGAAGTCAAGTATTTCGCTATAGCGTAATAAAACCTAGAGAGCTAATAAGTAAATAACATAATAGTAGTTCAGTGTACTCGAGTTTTAAATGATTTGTTAGTGACTATGCTGCTTTTTTTAATATCAATTGGCTCGAGACATCCATATCACATGATGATAGGATATCGAGAGTGTCGATCGTAGAAAACGAAATGACAATATCACTACACTGTAAGTTAATTGAGGCATAAATACACAAATAATTATTTTAATTTAGCTCAAATAAAAGTTATTACATATATTAAAAGAAAAAAAAAAAAGAAAAAAAAAAAGGAAGAAGCCGAGCCGGCTAAAAAGCCGAAATTGGCGCCGTGTTAGCTCAAAGAAAACACACGCCGATTAGTACGTTTTAAGCCACTGCATCCTAATATTATATAATATATATAATTAAAAAATAAATTAATTATATATAAATAGGCAATAAAAGCGAGAATATCCCGTCTCTCTCTCTTGCTTCCCATTAGGGTTTTTCCCCCCCCTCTGTAACTCAAAAACTCACTAAACTTTCTTCCTTCCGCCATTAATGGCTTCCACCTACAAATCCTGAACCTTAATCCACCACTTCTTTCAATTCCACCATTTCCTCTCACTATTTTCCTTCAATTTCTCACTCAACGCCTTCAATTCCTTCTATCCTAGTTCCTGATTATGGAGTTGAGCAAGGTAACCTTGGAGATCTTCACCAAGCTCGAGCAGCAATGGCTCTCTCACCACTGCGATGCCGCCAAAAAGATACGGATTCTCTGCATCGACGGCGGCGGAACCACTGCTGCCGTTGCAGGTGTCTCGCTAATTCATCTCGAAGACCAGATCCGATTCAGGACTGGCGATCCTCACGCTCGCATTGCAGATTTCTTTGACCTCATTGCTGGAACAGGCGTCGGAGCGATTCTCGCATCGATGATTGTGGCGGACGATGGCTCTGGACGCCCTCTGTTTTCCGCTAGGGATGCTGTGAGTGCGATTTCGCTTAGGAATTCGGAGATGTTTAAAGTGAAATTAGGCAGTGGATTTTGCGGACGGAGGAGGTTTTCTGGTAGGTCTATTGATGGAGTGTTGAAGGAGTTGTTTAGAGGCGAGAATGGAAAGGATTTAACTCTGAAGGATACTTGTAGGCCGCTTTTGGTTCCGTGTTTTGATTTGAAGAGTTCAGCGCCGTTCGTCTTCTCTCGCGCCGATGCTTCTGAATCGGCGAGTTTCAACTTCGATCTCTGGAAGGTCTGCCATGCCACGGCAGCGACGCCGAGTTCGTTTAAGCCGTTTCATCTCACTTCCGTCGACGGAAAGACCTCTTGCACCGCCGTCGACGGCGGTTTGGTGATGAACAACCCGACCGCCGCCGCCGTGACGCACGTACTTCACAACAAGCGCGATTTCCCGTCCGTCAATGGCGTCGAGGATTTGGTTGTGCTGTCGTTAGGTAACGGACCAGCAAGCGGTTGCAATGGCAAAGTCCGCCGTAACGGCGAGTGCTCGACCTCCGCCGTAATCGGCATTGTTCTCGACGGCGTCTCCGACACCGTCGATCAGATGCTTGGGAATGCTTTTTGCTGGAATCGAACGGACTATGTGAGAATTCAGGTATAATTGAATTATCTGAATTTCTACTTTCTCCGACAGCAAAGATTTTGTTTGTTTGGTTGCTAAGAAAATCCAAGAAAATAGACCCCAAAGTAAGGAACGGAGTTAGCTTTCTTTTTACTTTTCTCTATTTTTGGTCTAATAAATCTATTTTAAGTTTAAAAAAAAAAAAAAAAAACAAAAATTGAGTGTTTTGTTGGTTTTAAAATCATCAAATTAAATTATACTCTTTAATCTGTTATTTATTTATTTTCTTCTTTTCATAACGCGTTAACAATAACGTGCAGGCAAACGGCTTGGTGAAAGAAGGTGAGGTGTTAAACGAAAGATGCGTTGAAACGTTGCCGTTTGGCGGGAAGCGGTTACTAACGGAGAGTAACGGTCAGAGAATTGAGAGCTTCGTGCAACGGCTGGTGGCTTCAGGGCGGAGCAGCCTGCCGCCGAGTCCATGCAAAAATCCCCCCGCCGTCAGCCCACTTTCCGGCCGTTAGGGTTCAGAGACTATAAATATATTTTTTTCTTTTTTTGGAAGGAAAAAAATGTTGTTATTATTATTTATTTTCCTTTTAATTTTAACATGTAACCCATCTCAGGTTCACATCTTAACCCTGCAGTTAAGTTAGTTTTCCAGCAGCCTAATTTTTCTTCTAATTAATTTTCTTAATTATTTAAATCAAATTTTAGCATCATTCACTGTTCTAATCTTATAATATTTGAGAAAATGTCATTTTAATTTTAGAAATTAAAAAAAAAAAAAAGTTAGGGCAATAGAAAATAAGAATAAAGGAGATAATGTCGGCGGAATTGGAGGGTCAAACAGTTAGATTTATTATTATTATTTTTTCTGAAAAGTAACGACAGTTTTTTTTTTTTTTTTAATCAAAATAAATAAAAGTGGACAGTTTGATTTACGGGAGAAGTGGGATATGATGGAGTTCCCACTTCCCCCTTCTCTCTCTCTTCTTCTTCCCAACACTAAATTATATATAATAAAATAATTTTAAAAATACAAAATTTCCTATGAAATTATTTTTTATAAACGTTTCAAAACTATAACTTACGATAAAAATTTATAAAATTATTACATAAATGATTAATCCGATAAATATCTAAAATATTACAGTGGTGTCTAAGATTTGTGTGAGTTAAAATTAAAAACGAGAAAGGTTTTGTTGAACGGAAAAAATTGATTTTATAAATCAGAATATCACATACAAACCCTTTTAAAATTAAACATATATGATTGATGAGATTTATAATTTATTTAATATGTGTAAATTATTTATTGTATTAATTGAAATACTTATAAATGTTTTTAAGGATATTCGCGGATACCCATGTTTTGATGTCATCAAATCAACGGTTGATTTCTATTTATTTAATATTTTGATTTATATAAATAATTGTAGAAATATCACCAAAATATTAGAATTATAATTATTTTTATTAATTAAGTGAAAATATCTTATGTTTTAATTTGATTTGCTGAACATGTCTATTTACATAACAAATAATTAAAAAAAAATCATATATCACATGATTTGATTTACAACAAATTATTAGACATAAAATAATTATTAATTAAAAAAATCATTATATTAAAAAATTAAATACATAAAACAAAGATTTGAAAAATAAAATTAATATATATTAAAAGTAAATTATTGGTTTCTAAATATAAATTATTCAAATACCTAATAAAAAATAGGAATTACATAAAAAAAAATTATTAGATTCTGTAAATTTTTATTGAAATATTTAAAATTATTAATATCATGCTTCCCAAAATTGCAAATAATATCAAATAATTTATTTTTTATTTTTTATTTGAATTCTAAATCCTAATTACAGATTTTGATGAATAAAAAAAATGATAAATAATTAAATAAAACATAAAAAAAATAAATAATAGAATCCATATCCTCATAATTAAGGTGTCTCTATCAATAATATCATATAATTTAAAATAATAATAATAATAAATAAATAAATAAATTTTCATTTTTGTGAAAATTATGAGAAATAAAAGATTGATACATGCATGAAAATAATTCAACCCATTTGCATAACGTGACATCAAATAATAATGAATTATTCATATAATTTTTCCACTTGCATCATATATATTTTCCCTCCAATTTTTAGAAAATTTAAATAAATTTGGAAGCATTGGAACAAGTTGGATAAATTTTAAAATTATGTTAATTTTATTGAAATATTTATTTATTTATTTATTTATTTTAGAGTAAAGACAAGATTTAAAAACATAAACAAATTAAATGTATATTTGATGTGAGTCACTATCCATCACTGACCTTGTTTTATTTTTCCAACCTGGTCGATGTGACAACCTTTTACAAACAAGAATCCTATGAGTATATATGTTTCTATTTATTCTCTTTATATATTTTTTATTTAATCAAAATTATAAATTTCAGTATATTTAATTTATCCTTTTAATTATTAAAATATTTAAATTTATCTATTTTTATTTTTATTTTTTCGTTTTCGTAAAATATATTTTGAAGACGTTTCTATGACAGACATTTATTTTATTTTATTATTATTATTATTATTTGCATATAAATATGCTAAGTAGTTCACATTTTAGTTGAGAGGGAGAACATGATATTGAAAAGGAATATAATTATTTTTTTATATCTCTTTACAAAATATGGCATGTTGTTTATTTGGCTTATTTTCCAATTTGCTTACTATTTTTATAATATTTCAATGATTTATGTGGCTAAATATGATGTAACACCCGAGTAAATAAGAGGTTGTAACTGCCTAGATCCACCGCTAGCAGATATTGTCCTCTTTGGGCTTCTCCTCAAGGTTTTAAAACGCTCGGGAAGGTTTCTATACACTTGTAAAAGGTGTTTTGTTCTCCTCCCCGACCAATGTGGGACATCACAATCCACCTCCGTTCGAGGCCTATTGTCCTTGTTGACACTCTTTCCTTTCTCCAATCGATGTAGGACCTCCACCAAATCTACCCCTTTGGGGTCTAACGTCCTTATTGGCACACCGTCTCATGTCTATCCTCTTTGAGGAACAACCTCTTCGCTAGCATATAGTCCGATGTCTGACTCTGATACCATTTGTAATGACTCAGGTCCACCGCTAGCAAATATTGTCATATTTGGGATTTCCCTTTCGGGCTTCTCCTCAAGGCTTTAAAATGCGTCTGTTAGGAGAAAGTTTTCATACCCTTATAAAGGGTGTTTTAAAACTATAAGGCTAACAACAATACATAGTTGCCCAAAACAAACAATATCTACAAACAATATACTTTGGCTGTTACAAATGGTATCAGAGTTTGACACTCGGCAGCGTGTCAACGAGGATAGTGGGTCCCCATGGGAGGGTGAATTATAAAATCTCACATCGAAACAGAACATTTCTTAGAAACATATACGTTTTAAAACCGTGAGACTGATGACGATACACCAGGGACTATAACGGCCTACCCAATCAAATATTAAAAATATTATATATTTATGTACTTTTTATTTACTGGTGGCCCAAACATTTCCCACCCAATTAAAAAAAGCTAGATTCTAGGCATATATGCCGCAAGGCTTTAATTAAATTAATAAAGCTTATTATAGGCTTTCTTTACCTTAATTAAAATAATAATTAATCACACCAACGGTCAATAAAGCATATCTAAAGCTTAATAAATAAAGAAAAAAAAAATACCCTAAATCTCCATATTAATTAATTACTTTTTAAAAATAAATTAATAAAATTTATTACATCATAAATAAGAAAAATAAAATAATTTCAAAAACATCTTTACAATTTTTAATTTTTTTTATCATAAAAATTAATGGTTCCAATGACGACATTAGAAGCAAGAATAATTGAAAATAATAATAATAATAATAATAAAAAAGTGTTGTTCTTTTTCTCCAAAACAAGCCTTATTAGGGATCATTTCATTTCAATCCATTGATCCCTTACTTGAAGAGGGAAAATCAATGATTAAATCGACCTAACATATTAAATATAAATTTAGAGTATGATACAATTTTGTTACGTGACGAAATATATATAATGTTCGAGTAAATGAAGGGTACATGAATGAACCGATATCACATTTGAAATAGAGTGATATCTATCTATACCAATAAAGTGCACGTTTGAAACAATTTTATATCAGGTGACCTTCTCGTAATGAATAAATGAGGCTAAAATGAGCGGATTAATATGAAATTACATCTAAAATGTAATTTAATAATCATTTCGATAACATACTTTATGCTTTACTTGCAACCCTTGGCGTTTTATTATGGATTTGATTAAGATATTATGATTAATTTTTTAATTAAATTATAAAAATATTATAATAAAAGAGGATTTAAATTTATTTTTCCAAGATATTGTTTCGAAGTAATTTATAATATTTTACAATTATTGTAACTTTGTTGGAATGTCTAAATAATTATGTTTAGATTTAATCTCGAGTCACGAATCGTTATTTATACAGAATTTAAAACGTTTCGATAAATTTTAACATTACATCACTAATCATGTATATATGCTAAGTTTCGGATCTATCTCGGCTCTTATAAACATACAACTAGTATATGCTCTTGCTCTGACCGTACAACTTAACTTCGGTCTAAAAAAAAGTAGCATGAACGAGTAAAAAATTAGGGTTCTAAGATGTGATGTCCCATATTGGTTGGGGAGGAGAACAAAATACCCTTTATAAGGGAGTAGAAATCTTCCCCTAAAATGCGTTTTAAAGCTTTGAGGTGAAGCCCGAAAGGGAAAGCTCCCCAAAGTGGACATAGCCGTGGATCTGAGTCACAAAAATCCCATTTATAAGGGTATGGAAACCCAATATCTGCTAGCGATGAATCTGAAAAGGGAAAAGTCAAAGAGGACAATATAATATATACCCACCCATTTATAAGGGTATGGAAACCCAATATCTGCTAGCGATGGATCTGGAAGGGAAAAGTCAAAGAGGACAATATAATATATACCCAATATCTGCTAGTAATATATACCCAATATCTGCTAGCGATGGATCTGGAAGGGAAAAGTCAAAGAGGACAATATAATATATACCCAATATCTGCTAGCGATGCTAGCGATGGATCTGGAAGGGAAAAGTCAAAGAGGACAAAGAGGACAATATAATATATACCCGATGGATGTTGAAATTAGAGTTCTAAGATAAACAATAAAATAGTAATTTTTAATTAATTTTAATCAAAGTTGAAAAGCATACACACGTGTGTGTATCTCTCTCATAGTCACACACACGTGCTCTCTCTCTCTCTCTCACATGCATGAAAAGGTAGCATAGGGATATAAAGATTATGTTGAGATCCTGTCTTGTTTTGTATTTTCCTATGTCTTTTCTTCATATAGAAACCATTCTATATGTCCGGGTTGAAGGTGAGTAGAGGTTCAAATTTTCGTACCCTAACATTTTTGTTGCATGATGGTATATTTTAAAGCAGGATGTCCCTACTTTGCCTCAAGAACCAATCACGTGCTAATGGACGTACAATTACAATTGACATTCGTTCATGTTTTCAAACAATGGTGAACTCGATTACGAACGGTCGAGTAAGGAGAAATGAACGAAAGCTTGATATAATTAATCGTGTGA